GGTTACATTAATCTCGCGTACTTCCCGCTGAATTGTTTACTTATCTCGATGCGTACCACGAATACTTACGTAGGGACTATGTACGACGAATCTCCCGAGTCTCGTAAATGTTCCCGCTTCAGTATTTCTGAGAGAAAAGTTCACCACATAAATTATTTCAATATAGCCTAATTCCGACGATTTTCCGATGGAGAAAATAATGTCATCGGAAAATTCTTCGGAAACAGGGTATATTTATTTAAATAATTTTAATTATTTTGTGTCAAGTATTTCTTTAATTAAATATACCCTGTTTTGTATCAAGATATATTTAAGCGGTACAAATTTAATCTCAAACGTTTCATACGACAGTTCCGATGAAAGTATGAATAAAATAAAATATTAGAATGGTTTAATTATTATAAAATAGAAACAGATTTTTTAACAAATAAATTATAATGCATATAATATGATAAATTTAAAAGCATTTAAACAGATTTTATAAAATATATATATAAAACTAAAGACGATATATTTGATTTACTCAGAATCGGAAGAATAATCTGAACTAGCATTGTTTCTTACTTCTCGAATGGTATGACATCCTCTTCGTCTTCCGCATTTTCCCATATCTCTTCGAGTTCTATGTTCTTGATCTGTAAACCATACTTCTCTTTTCTTCCCACTCAGTCTCCCGATTTGAGAAAAGATATCTGGGACAGATGTATGGTAAATAGGCCGCACACCCCCATCATCGTACCTACCTGGTTTTCTTGCTTTTGTTTGGACATTTGGAGCAAAATAGTAGGCCGAAAAATGAGAAGTCTCCTCGTTTATGCTTTGAGCTACTATTGATCCCTCAACTTTGCTAAGATTTTTAACTTTTTTCTTCAAATGGAACATAAAACGCTCAAAAGGATACATCCACCGGTACTGAACTGGACCGCCTAGTGCTGCTTCACGAGGTAGATGGATAGGCAAGTGCTCCATGACATCAAAGAATGATGGGGGAAATAATTTCTCCAAATTGCAAATGATAATCGGGATATTATCTTCAAGTGTATGTAGTCCTTCGACTGTTAGAGATCTTGAACACAAATCTCTAAAAAATGCACCTATCCCTGCAATTTAATTAATAACTGTAAACAAAAAAAGAATATATACATGAATAATAACATATTAAAATAATTGAAAGATAAGTTGTTTGTACCTGCAATTGCTTCATGGACAACATTTGGTAGGAGTTGTGTAAACGCAAATGGTAGTAAACGCTGCATAAAGACGTGACAGTCATGACTTTTCATCCCAGCTAATCTACCACTGTGATCATCAACACAATATGATAGATTTGATGCATAGCCATCAGGAAATTTAACATCATCAATTATCCACTGAAAAAACTTGGTCTTCTTGCTTGCATCTAATCTCCATATAGGAATAGGACCTACTCCGTCTGCAAGCAAATGGAGATCCTCGCGCGCACAAATATCGGGTAAATCCATTCTGGATTTGACATTATCTTTAGTCTTACCCGGGACATTTAAAATGGTGTTAATTATATTGTCAAAGAAATTCTTCTCAATATGCATAACGTCAAGACAGTGGCGGAGTAGATGATTTGTCCAGTACGGTAACTCCCAGAAGATACTTTTTTTATGCCAATTATGATGTTCTCCATATCCATCAATTCGGACATGGCCATTACCGCCTACCGATGATGTACAGTCAACATCAAAATCACGAAATTGATTCAATATATAATCACCATCATACTCAGGTGGCGGTGGATCACGGATACTCTTGTTCTTGCGGAACAACGTCTTACTACGACGATATGGATGATTTCGTCTTAGAAAACGACGATGACAATCAAACCAACTTGATTTCCGGCCATGTCTTAGTTGGAAGGCATCTGTATTATCTTGACAATATGGACACGACAGTCTTCCATGAGTTGTCCAACCCGATAACATGCCATATGCGGGAAAGTCACTAATAGTCCACATCAATACAGCACGCATGTTAAAATTTGTCTTTTTGGAGACATCATATACCCAAACCCCTTGGTACCATAACATTTTTAACTCTTCTATAAGCGGCTGTAGGAACACATCAAGTGAACGACGAGGGTGGTTTGGACCAGGAATCAAAATGGTTAAGAAAAGAAATTCTCTTTTCATGCAAAGGGAAGGTGGGAGATTGTAAGGGGTGACTATTACTGGCCACAAAGAATATTTTCTACCTGACTTTCCAAATGGATTGAATCCATCCGTGCATAAACCAAGATAGACATTCCTTGGTTCATTAGCAAAGACTGGATATGTAGAACAAAAATGTTTCCAGGCCGATGCATCCGATGGATGTGAAATCTCCCCGGTGAACTCATGTTCAGCGTGCCATCGCATACCCTCCGCTGTCCGATCTGACTGATACAACCTCTTCAACCTATCAGCCAAGGGCAAATACCACATACGCTTATATGGTATTTTGTTTCGCCCACCAGTAACCTGAAACCTTTCAGCACCACAGAAACGACATTGAGACATATTTACATTATCTCCCCAAAAAATCATACAATTTTCTCTACACACGTCAATCATTTGGAATGGTAAACCTAGCCCAGATACCAATTTTTGGATTGCGTTGTATGAAACTGGCGATAAATTATCTTCCGGTAGATAATCGTGGATAAAATCAGCCCACGCATCAACACAATCTTCACTTAAATTGTAGTCTGTTTTGATGTTCATCATACGTGTTGCGGCGGATAAAGGAGAACGACCCTCTCTGCATCCTGCATATATCGGATGATTTGCAGCATCTAACATATCGAAAAATCCCTGTGTTTCTAAGTTGGGTTCCTCCGCAACATTAGTATTTTCTACGTTATCATGAAATTCACCACTACCACTTCCAATTACATTATCTTCTTCCTGGTGAATATGCTCATCGCTAATTATAACGTTTTCATCTCTTCTTTCACGACTACTACTAGGACCCGATCTAAAATCCGGTCGACTGGAGCCCTCCTG